AGTTTCGCTCTCATGATGGAGGAATCCAGATGCACTCCCAGGTAAATTGTCGACTGGGAGGGGAGGGGAGAGCACTTCTGCCAGTTTATGGCAAAACCCAGCAAACACAGATGTTTGACGAGCTCCACTGTGTGGAGCGCTGCGCTCTCCCTGGATGACGTCATCACCATCAGGTCGTCCAGGTAAAATAAAACCCTGATGCCTCTCCTGCGTAATGGCTCCAGGGCTGTTTCCACGCATTTGGAGAAAGTGCGGGGAGCCAGAGAATAACCGAAAGGCAGCCGGTTGTACTGATACTGAACTCCTCTGAAGGAGAAACGAAGGAATTTCCTGTGCCTGGGGATGACGGGCACATGAAAATAAGCGTCTTTTAGGTTGATGGATGTGAACCAATCGCCGGGACGCACACACTCCAGGTTAACATGTGAAACGGTCTCTCCATTGTGGATTTGTTGAAGAGAGATAGGTCGAGAACCGGTGTCATTCCGCCTGTTTTCTTCGGCATTAGGAAGTAACGGGAGTAATAACCCTCGTTCTCCTCGCATAGGGCAACTCGGGAAATAGCCCCTTTTTCCAGGAGCTCCGACAACTCTGTCATCAGAGCAGCTATCTCTCCCACTGAGCAATTTCCCGTCTAATATAAGTCTAAAAGACATCTAAATGGTGCATAGCCGTCTAGACTAAAATAAGTTTAAATTTGGTGCAAAAGTGATAGAACAGTAGCCGTCTAAATTTCACCCAGTCGTTTTTTCAACGTCATTTCAACTGGCATTATGTTTAAATATATACGTTTAGATGACGTTGAAAAAACGGCTTAGACGGCTACTATTCTTTCACTTTTGCACCAAATTTAAACTTGTTTTAGCCTAGACAGTTAATAGACATCTATTTAGACCGCTACTATTCAAGAGTAGTAGCGGTCTAAATCTCACCTAGCCGTTTTTTCAGCGTCATCTAAATGTAGGCTATATATTTAAACATCTAGCCTACCCGTTGAAATGGTGTTGATAAAACGGCTAGGTGAGATTTAAACGGCTACTAGTCTTTCACTTTTGCACCAAATTTAAACTTATTTTAGCCTTCACAGTTAATAGACGCTTTTTAGACGGCCATCTCAATTTTAGAAAGTATTTATTAATATCTTCCAAAGACATATATCAAGCTTTCGTGTAGCCTAACAGCCTGCCAAAACAAAATACAGGTCATAGCTTGTTCAAAGTTTACAAAAATTGAAGGGACAACAATTTTACCTGGGCAGCTTTGACCAGAAGAATCTTCCCCAAACAGTCCTTACCTGGATGCAATAGGCCTTTAACAGAATGTTTAGACTGGTCATTTCTACATTGGTTTCAAAAAGGTAGCTGTGTTGGTACAGTAGTCCATGAGAAATATGTATTTTTTGTAATTAGTACTATTGTCATTTCTGCTTATTACTTTGGTGTCTTACTGGATCTTGTGAACAAATTAACAGTGAAACAGTAATATCATGCTTTTCTTGTGTTTTACATACTCCACCAAACATTCAATGGAAGGACTATTAATAGTAATTGCTAAAACTCTTTCATGCTAAATGGGCCATTGAACTTGTAACTGAAAAGATTTTCAAAACTTAGGGAAGATGTTTGTTTTAAGGCATAATTAAGTCCAAAATCCCATCATTATCTATTGGGGAGATAACCAGAGGCAAAACTGAAAATTAGTCTTTCCAATACATTATTTCATTTGGTGGAAAGAAATTAAGCTGAAATGATTAATTTGTAAGGTGTAAAATATTTCAGTAACGTTTTTTAATAAAGCAGCAGTTTAGTTTTATTTTCAGTCAGTTGACTAACCGATTAATCACTGCAGCTCAAAAACAAAAAAAATATACTGGTACATTTTTATGAAATAGTGTTAAACTTAAGTAAATGGGCATGATGGGAAACAACACAAAACAACATGATTCCCAATTAATAGTAACCTGCTGCCAAACTCAAACTTTAACAATGAGACAGATGGTTAACAGAGATCATCGCCTCTTATTGCAGAGGTTTTCTTTTTGTATCCTCCACCACCACTTCAAGCCGGAGGATGTTTAAAATGATCAGCCATGGCTTTATTGATGTCCTGCTCTGTGGCCCCTTCGAATAGCATTGTTACAGCTTCTGAAATGAAAACATAAAGATACAAATTACCTTTTAGATTGAGTGGCAATTGCAGAGGTGATGAAGTCTAGACAAGATGTTTCAGTTAACACTGTACGTCTTGTCAATGATGCGTGTTCATTGTGACACAATCTGGGTGGGGCCAAAGCATCTTTCCCAATTTAAAAAGTGATCCATGTCCTCATTATTAGACTGTATGATAGGAAGTCAGGTTTCAAAATTATAAAATTATCCTTTCATCAGTACTTGTACCTATCTAGGATTCTTTTGGTGCAGTTCCGCACATCCTCCCCTCCAACATGAGACAGCCGGGAGATCTGCATGACATTATAAATAATAAAGTTACATTTATTTTCACATTGGGTAATAAAAGTATTTATAGCACTTTTCCTTATTGAAATTACCATTGCTGTTCGGAACAAGGGTTCTTCTAATCGTTTCTCAACTTCCAGGAAGTGCTCCTCAGTCTGGATTAACACAGGGGGATCAAAATAAAATAAATAAATAAAATAAAAATCAGCCAGCCACCCTCCTCCTCTGACAAGTTAAGAACAGTCCCTAAAGTGCGGTGAGGTTTGTGGAAATGTGAAGGACTTGTTTCTCCTCTGACACGTCACATAACTGTGTGCCGCCACAGCTCGGCTGTTCAGGTACTACTGGGCAGTCATGACACCAACTTATTCACCTGGAGCCGGGCTTCTCGGTTGCCGGTAAACTGCGCTATCTTGCGGTGACCATAGCGCTCCACCATATTCCTGTCTGTGACCCCAGTTCAACCCACAACCGGCAGGATTCGTCTTTTATTTCTGCTGCTGGTTGAAATCTGTACTTGCACAGCGTGCTCCTGAATAATTTCTTTTGCTTGCACAAAACTATTTTTAGTCGCAAATGCGAGTAAAATGCTAGCACCTTAGAGCTCTGTGGAAAACAAATCACTGTAGCATATATAAACAAATCTAGCCTACAAGTAAAAATAAATTAATAATAATTTTAAGTGCTTAAAGATACTCAATAGCTCAGCTAATACCTGAAATGTCACTGGAAAACAAACCACTACAGCAGAATATTGAGTGCCAGGTGGCCAGCGCGTACCGTTATTGGACGGCGCATGGACACTCACCCTCTTGTAAATGGACTTTGAACTTATCCCACAGTAGTAGTGGTGCCGTGAGGTACCGTAGTACTACGGTTCTCCAACATGATGGTATCATATGTACCATGGTGTTTAAGTACCGTGGTCTACCGTTGGTACCAGTATAGCGTGCAACACTACATGTACAGTGCATATAACTCCCAAATCGTCGAGTATTAACATCTCCCCCGGGAGATGTTAATACTCAAATTAGCTTACAGCTAGTTCCAACTTCCAACGCTTCCAACTTTAGCGATAGGTTTTCACATCCAATACGACACAAACCGAAACAAAGGCTGCAGAAAAAATATTCGACTGTGTCAGTAACATTAATCAAAATCCCCAGACTCTCTGTGTCAAACCGCACTCATAAACCCCACTCATTTACTTCAAAATTTAACCACGGCCACAGACCGCTAACGCTAAATTAACTAAGGCCCTGTTAGCTTAGTTAGCTGCAACACCCAAGATAAATATCAAAAGCAAAGAACACCTTATCAAAATTGCTACTTCTTCTTTGTCTCCTTCTTCTTCGCCGTCCTCACCGCTGTCTTTACTGTGACAATAAAACTTTTTCCTTTCTCCAACTTGACCTTTCCAACTTTGCAAACTGTGGTCTCAACCAGTCTCAACCAGACCACAGAAACAATTGACGCATGCGCAGTGTGTTTATGCAATGTTGACTGATCTATGGCGTGTTACTACCCCCTACTGATGAAAATACAGAAATACATGCTGTTGTTTAAAAAATAATGCTGGGATGTCAACCGCACGGCAGTGTATCATTTGTTTTAAAAATGTTTTAAAGATGATCATATATGATCATAAAAAAACTGGGCTAGATAGTGCCCTCTTTTAGACCAAGCAGCTATGTAAAGGCTAGATATAACCCACTTTTACACCAAGCTTGGTCTTAAAGCGGGCTATATCTTTCCCATTATGCAGGGGTGGGTAGTAACGTGTTACAAGTAACGCACGTGAGTAAAAAAGTAGTTTTTTTGAGGAACAAGTACTTTTTAAGTTCCTTTTTTAAAACTGTACTTCTGCTCTTACTCAAGTATATTTTTGAGCCAGTAATCTTCTTACTTCACTACATTTGCCATTTACCTTCATTACAACTACCATATATTTCCAAATAGTCGCCCGGTGGCAAATAGCCACCGGGCACCTAATAGCCGCTGGGGGTTTGGCACATGACTCGTGCTACGGATGGACGGACGGACGGACAGCCACGTATCTAAAACAGGTAATACATCTGGCTACATCGTTCCCACATCAAATATCCGTGATTGCCTTGACCCGCATGCGTAAAAGCGCACACAGTCCGTGTCCTCTCACTGCAGATGCTGTGATTTGATGGCCGGTACTCATTGTAGCCCACTCTTATAAGACCCAATAATAATAAAAAGAAGAAGAAGAAGAAGAAGAAGAAACTGTGGACCTATATGCCATGCCTTTTAATAAAATTACCAGAGGAGTTCGCTGAAAAACAGGTAAAGTCAGCCTGAATTAGGTGAAAATCGCTGACATGGGCATGGGAAATACGGCTTCTACAGGCTCGCTATAGCTTACTGTCAGGACTCAAGGACCAGAATCCGGGATGGTGGACCGTCGGAATGCTGATATTTCGGTGTGGCGGCCTGTAACTGTTGGTTAAATGGCCCGTTCGGATAACTGGGGCTTTACTGGTATAATGCAATAGCACCACCCACCGGTGAAACCCGTGTACATGGAAAAAAATGGCCGGAGCCAGGTCGAAATGAAGAGCTTCTTTTTGTTTGAAAAGAGCCAACTAAGTTAGCATGTTAGAGATTTATGCACTTATAATCCCAGTTTAGGACATATTTCTTACAAAACAAGGGAGAGATGGGATTTTCATTTTGTTACTGTTATGGTCATTTGTAAAATAGTCCACCTGACACCTGGTGATCTGGCAGGAAAGACCTACAGGGACCTGTTATACCTTTACAAACACATTTTGGCAACATGTAAAGATGGAACTTGGGAACATTATAGTGCTATTGTTTACCATATAATGAATGGTTTCTTATTTTATTGGATTTTAATTATTTTGTTCACAGCGAAAAAGATGTAGAAAAGACAAAGAAGTTGGGATGTCATTTCTGTTTTTAAAGCAAGGTCATCCACTCAAATTACAGATAGGGAAATGGAGAAAGAAGAGGTTAGGTGAGGAAAAGAGGGGTAGGGTGAAGGAGATGGAGAGTGGAAGATTGGTACCTGCTTCATTAAAAAAAGTTTTATCAAGTGCTGTTTTTTCATTATTTTGCACTTGTCCGCACACCCTAAAAAAATATTCAAATGTAAAGTAACTTGTACTTGAGTAAATCATTAACCAGGTACTTTTTACTTTTATTTGAGTAGGTTTCTCAAATAGTAATTTTACTTCTACTTGAGTATTTTTTTTTATGGCAGTAATTGTACTTTTACTTGAGTACAGATTTTCAGTACTCTACCCACCCCTGCCATTATGTCAAGTGGGATATATTTAGCCTTGACATAGCTGGACAGTTTCGGAACCATCCAGAAATGGCAATTTAAAATTATTTTAGCACAATATGGAGTTCAGTTGCACATCTTAGATATTTACAGTTGTTTGATGTATAAATATGTGACAAATTAATTAAATTGCTTGGTCTAAAAGTGGGCTATATCTAGCCCACTTTTTATGATCACATAAGTGGGCTAGATATAGCCCACTTTTAGATCAAGCAGCTATGTAAAAGCTATAAATTAGGCTGACGTCGTCTTTTGCCCGGACATGTCCACTTTTCACGTCCCGTCCGGGGCGTCCGGGGGGGGTTATAAACTGATGATAATGTCCGGTTTTCCGTGTGTTTGTGTGTTACAGTGCGGCACGGACCGCATATTCCTGCCGAACCTGAACCGAGCCCGACATTATTTAATGACCAAAGCACTGAGTTTGTATCACACAGTTGTTATGGTTACAGGCTATTTAACAGGTCGGGCGTGCGCCATGGGTGCTCAGCATAGAGGGAGACCTCCGTGTTTGAGAAGGGAGCGAGAGGCGGGAGGTCCGACGCTTCTAGCGAGAGGAGATGGAGACATAAAACAAAATAAGATAAAATAGGAAAAACCTGTCTCCCTCTTTTATTTTATTTTCAGCGTTTAATCAAGGCGGAGGTGGGCGGCTGGAGGTCCGAGACTTCCAGACAGGGGAGAGGTAGAAACAAACAGCCAATGTGTGTCTGTGTGTGTTATGTTCAGGTGTTGTCACGTAAATAACAGTGCCCAAGCAATAAACAGGACAGACAATAGGATTTTATTTATTTTTACACTATATTTTCACTGAAAGCTGACCGAATCCGACCCGACCCCGAATACAATTTATATAGCTATAACGGGTCGGACCGGGTTTGGTCAAAAATGTAGCTCTACATTTTTGACCTCGGATCGCCACACTCTAGTGTGTGTATGTCCCCTATAGAGGCCTATCTGAATTTCTGTCTTTGAGAGATATTATTTTGTAATAAAACTGAATTTTCTATCCATACATATAAATTTTAAATATATTAAAATTATAAGGCATCTTTGAGTAAACTGCGAGCATCATTTAAGTAGTCGTGTCCGGCCGAGTGTCCTCTTTTTTGGAAATCAAAATATGGTCACCCTACTATAAATAGCTACCTTTTAGTCCAATTGCTTGGTCTAAAAGTGGGCTACATCTAACCCACTTTTGTGGATATAAAAGTGGGATAGATTTAGCCCACTTTTAGACCAAGCTGCTATGTCAAGGCTAGATATAGCCCACTTTTAGACCAAGCAATTGGTCTATTGGGTGATATATAGCCTTGACATAGCTGGACAGATTCATAGCCATCCAGAAATAGCCTAATTCAAATTATTTTAGCACAATATGGACTCCAGCTGCACATTCGGAGAACTGGAGAGTGTAATTAATCTTTCCATCCATTCGTTCATGGAAAGCAAATTTCGCCACACCGAGCAGCGCTCTGAAAGCAGGCATGCAAACCTCTGTGGAGCCTCTGTGGACATTTCTGACAGCTATCGTAACGCCCTCACCGCCGCTGCGTGGAATGAGTGACCGCTCGGCACAGCCCATGGGAGGGCAGGGATGAAAGGGCTGCATCGGAGGATGTGTGACAATGTGTGGGTCGACATCCGCACACCCAGACTCTGAGTCTGTTTCATGCCATGGCGAAAAACCTCCACTAACTCGCACTGATGGGTGTGAGGTAGGGAGGCCGCAGAGAGGCGGATAGTGTGTAGGTTGTTGTGCACACTTGGGAAGAGAAATGATACTCGAAAACGTGAGAGTGAATGTGAGCATATGTGTGCACGCGCATGCGCAGTGGAGGTAGCATGTGTGTGGGGGACATGTGCCTCGGTAAAAACAGACGCTGAATACTCAGTGGAGACAAAAGCGAATTGTTTGAAAGGAAACTGCTCTTCAGTGACAGATGAGTGGCTCTTAAAACAAAGAAAAACACACTTCCCCCGTGACCCATCAGGACCACTGCTGCTTGTGAGGTGGCTCAGCTGGTGGGTTGGACCAGGTGCAGGCAGCGCGCCGGCCCTTGGCAGGGTGACAGCGTGGAGAAGCCGTGGCTGGAGGAGGGTGCCGAGGCGGAGGAGGAGGTTGAGCGGTAGCGGACCGAGGCGTAGCCGCAGCACTGGCTGTGGGGCGCCTCTGTCTGGAGCGTGCGTCCCGGCGATCGTGCCAGGTGCCTTGGGGTCGCGGCGCAGCTCTGCTCCATGAGGTGTGTCTCCTCACTCTGTCAGCTTCCTCAGAAGCATTCTGGAGGTGCGCGATGGCGCTCTGGAGGAGCGACCCAAACAGCCCATCGGAGCTGATGGGGCCGCTCAGAAGCTCCCCTCTGATCCGTGCCGGCAGCATCGTTTGCCACGCCATGATCCGAGCCTGCGCCACCGTCGTTGCCGTGGAGAGGATCAGAATAGCTGACATAGCCTTCCCGATCTTTGTCGTCATCTCGGGAGGGAGCGCGCCGGGCTGTGCAGCCATAGCGGAGACAGCAGAGGAAAGCAGGGCGATGTTATTCGCGGCCGCTGCTGTCTGTGCTGCACATTGGTGCGCACGGTCAGTGAGGCAGGCGGTAACTTGGTCCCAGAGAGAAGGCGGCGTGGGTTTACGTCTGCCGAAAAAGGTGGCTTTTGGCAACAAAATGGTGGCTAGGCTGTCTTCAAGCTGTGGGACAGCAGGGAACACGTGTTCTGTATCTCCGTTCACCCTGGTGAAGAGGTCATAGCGAGCCACCGGCGCCTTCATTTTTCCGGGCTCGGAAAAAGCAGCATCGATGAATGACCGAAGCTCCGTCACGCGAGGCCACACAGGGAAACGCTTGGGCGCCGGCTCTGGGGCGTAGATGTCTCCTCCCAAGACGCCGCGACCCGGCACAGGTGGATCCGCTGGCACGGGGACACCCTTCAGGTCAGCAGCCATCTTGATGATGCTTGGAAGATCTTGGAGAAGCGCCTTGGCGAGAAGATGGCCGGCAGGCCGTGACGAGGCGGGAGATAGCCGCGTGAGCGGGGCTCCCCTCTCATCCCTGTCGTCGTCTAACTCCAGGTCTCCCAGCAAGGAGAGGGGAGAGCCGAGGGGGGGAGCCAGCC